TGGAGCAGTGTGGTCTGGATGTGACAGAGGCCTCGGTGTACTCAGGAGTTTGTACAGAGATCTTCAAAAGAGAGTGTGTGATCTTCCAGAAACCAGTCTACTGCTTTGTTCATCTGAGCATTCAGGAGTTTCTGGCTGCAGTCTACATGTTCCACTGTCACACCAACAGGAAGACAGAGGTGGTGAAAGACTTCCTAAACAAAAACAAAAACAGGCACTTAATCATATCTTTTTTAAAGAACATATTCAAGTCTTATAGGTTTCCATCAATGGATGTCTTTTTGACTCAAGTCATGTATAAATCCCTCCAGAGTGAAAATGGCCACCTGGACCTGTTTGTTCGCTTCCTTCATGGCCTCTGTCTGGAGTCCAACCAGAGCCTCTTAGTAGGTCTGCTGGGTCAGACAGAGATCAGTCCAGAAACCATCCAGAGAGTCATCAACAACCTGAAGGAGATGAACAGTGATGAAATCTCTCCTGACAGAAGCATCAACATCTTCCACTGTCTGATGGAGATGAATGAACCTTCAGTACATCAGGAGATCCAAGAGTTCCTGAAGTCAGAGTACAGATCAGAGAAGAAACTCTCTGAGATCCAGTGCTCAGCTCTGGCCTTCATGCTGCAGATGTCAGAGGAGGTTCTGGATGAGTTTGACCTGAAGAAGTACAAAACATCATGGGGCGGACGACTGAAACTGATTCCGGCTGTGAGGAACTGCAGAAAGGCTCAGTGAGTCCAGATGTGATCATTAACATCATTAATTAGTGTAGATCAGTAGTTTAGTTCTTCAGATATACACACTACTAAACGACTCTCATTAGTTTGAGTTTCTCAGATAAAGGGATATTTTGCATTGATCAGGAAATGTGTGTGTTCACTTAGCATGATTTTGCATTGGTAGTCATACGCTGTGTGTTGTAGACTCACATCTACATGTAGTACCTGTGTTGTGTTGTTAGGGGGCAGTATTTTAAATCTGCTGCTATTGTTGGTCATTCAAACTCTGCTGTTAGAGAGAGAAATAAGAGTTTATGAAGAGCTTCTTTGTAGTGAAGTGAAATCTAATGTTACAAACAGTGACAAATATCCAGAGCAGTCACCATCTGAGCTTCTCTTCTGACTACAGACATAACTACAGACACAGAGTTTAGTGGCATAAACGTGGTGAGTGAGGATGAAGGTGCTGAGGAAGACTCTGGTGTAGTGTGATTAAAGTGTGATGTACTGATGAGTAACAGTGAGGGCTCAGAGATGAACCAGCTGTGCTCTCTTACTGCCAACAGTGGGACAAACTGAGTGAGAAGACACATCTGGACTGAACATGTGTCAAATATGTGAGCTAACGCTGATGTCACAGCAGCACATGGATTCACTCTCATTCCTGCTGCTGCTCCTA